TTTGATTTGCCTTGAGTGGACTGGAAGAAATGAAGACTGGGAACTGTGACACTGATGCCCACCATAATGAAAACTACCACCTCATTGTCACTGGTGTTGGTGCAGGATGTTTAGGGGACAAGGAAGCTGCCATATAAGTAATGGATGGTGACACTGCCATTGCAGAAGTTTGGCCTAAGCACGTGCCTTGTCTGGGCAGTGGCTCCAGGGTAAACTCCGTCTCTCTTTGCCACACACACACACACCAAACTTCAACACCAAACACACCTAGTAAGATGTGGTGTCCTTATGCAGTGATGGATTACAGACAGCTACAAAGCAATCATAGGACATTACGGTCAACACACAGTATTTAGAGGTGACAATAAAGAGAAAGAAAATCAGCTAAGTCATGCAACCTGTACAAGAAATGATTCTTTGATACCAAGTTCATCAACATTTTGGGGGTGAAACAGAAATTCATGAAGCTCTGGTTGAAGAGGAACTAGAGTGTGGGGGTCTGAAGGTAAGGGTTCAGGCCAGGTAGAGTGATTGAGGCCATGTTCCTCATCATGGTGACTTGTTAACCCAGCAAGGGTAGATTCAGGCCCTGAGAAGTAATTTCCAGCAGGCATTCCCATTTGGGAGATGCGTGCAAAAAAATGCAGCTCCCTTTCATCCATAATGGATCAGACGATTTTCATGAATGCCTGCCCCACGGGGTGGTGGGCATATTGGTCTGCTGGGGCTGCCATAACAAAGTATCACAGACTGGGGATTAAACAACAGAAATTAGTTTTCCACAGTTTGGAGGCTAGAAATTCAAGATCACAGTTACAACAGGGTTGGTTCCTTCTGAGGGCTATGGGAGGAGCACCCATTCCAGGCCCCTTTCCGTGGCTTGTAGGTGACTGTCTTCTCCCTGTGTCTTCACGTCTTCTTCCCTCTGAATGTGTCTGCATCCAAAGTTCCTCTTCTTACAAGAACACCCGTCATTAGGACTCACTCCTGGTAACATCATCTTAATTCAGCTTCCCCTTTCTCCACACATAGGGTCACAGTGAGAGGCACTGGTTATTAGGTCTTCAGCATATGAATTTGAGGGGTGTGGCCAATTCAGCTTAAACTGTGGAGAAAAATAAATGTGTCCCATTTCTTCTCTGTTTCACATCTCCTCATCTTGTTTCCCTTTGAGATGAATGGCTGATGAGCATTTAGAGAGCTGGGGCCTTATACCTACACAGCAGTGAGGTGACATGGGACCTTGGCTTCTATCCATTGCTATGTCTCCTCCTCTGACATTTTTTTATCCTATTTTTGGAGAAACCAGGTCATTAATCCTATAAAAGCTCTCAGATTCTGGATCTAGCTAATTGTTTCCCTACATTGTCATTTAACACGTACTTCTGTACCGTGTAGCTCCTGAAGACTGCTAGTTAGATCTAGAGGTTTAATTAGATTCATGTTCACTTTTTTGGCAAAAATTCATAGGTGGTGGTGTGTGCTTCCTTTTGAACCGCGTCAGCAAGACATAATGTCTAGTTGTCTCTCCCTTTTGAGATGTTAATATTGGTCAGTGCACCAGGTGTTGGCTGACATAATCCACTAGCAGCCATTGATGATCACTGCCTAGCTGTTCAGTAGGAATATAATGCAAGGCATGGGTATAATTTGACATTTTTCAAGTAACCACATTAAAAAAGTAATCATAAATAAATGAAATTAATGTTAGTAATATATTTTATTTAGCCCATTATATCCAAAATATTATCACTTCAATATGTAATATGGAAAATTAATGAGATATTTTAAAACTTTTTTTGTACCAAGTCTTTGAAATCCTGTATTTTATGCTTGCAACACAATTCAGAGACAAGCCATATTTCAAGAGTTCAATAGCTACTCACACTGTTTAAGATTTCTTTATAATTTTTTTTTGTTCTTAGAATATGTCCCTATTAGGGATGTACAGTGAGGCTAACTATTAAATTCTAGGAGAAACAAAAAGCTGTGCAAGAAAGAAAATGTGAACATAGAATGCTATAAGAAGTAACTGCACACAGTATTTTCAAAGTCATAAAAATGCAAACACTGAATATCAATTTACTCAAAAATTGCAATGGGAGGATGAGGGAAGAGGACTAAACCCTCATCATTCACAGAGGAAATCAGCTGATAATGTCTAAAATCAAAGTTACCGGTTTTTTACCATCAGATTTTGTTACTGCCATGAAAGTTTTCTTTTTCTCCAGTCAAATTTACATTTCCATCTCATATCCATTACATAAATTTAACACCTCTCCTTCTCCCCTTCTGAGCCCAGCTCCTCTGTGAGGAGGAACCAGGGGAAATGAAAGTCCTTTTCACTTAGGTGGGCTTGTGATTTAAATGCTCTTTGGGTGTCCCTCCATCCTGGTGACCCCCCACCTGGAACTGCTGGAGGCAGGCTCTGCAGCGAGGGGTCCTGCCCAGGGAGATGTGCTGAGCTGAGGGCAGGGATGGTAATCAGCGAGTCTTCACTGGGGAGGGGAATTTTGAAGTGAGCCTTGGAGGAGAGACATTAGCAGGTGAGCCAAGCAGGGGCAAGGAGCCCGCAGAGGGGCAGTACGGCAAAGGCCAGAAAGGCCAAATGCCTGGCATGGGCTCGGCAGCGCACCCAGGCTGCCATTACCTCAGAGACACTGTGCAGCTGCTCAGACTTCTCGGCAGCCCAAGACAGAAGGCCATTTCCTAATCTATTTCTATTTAATAATAGGCAAAAACTGTGGCGTCTGCTCAGCCCATGTTCTTGGAACAAATGGACCCAATTAAAAGGCCATCATAGGGGAATTTAGGGGAAGAGGGAAAAGCCATTGATCAAATCAATGCCCAGCTGCCCTGGGCTGGTTTGCGACTGGCTGCAGCAGAATCCTTCTTCCCACTCTGCCTTTTCCTCTCCCAAACACTGCCCTAGATCTGGGGAACTTTGCACCACCCCTAGCCCCATCCTCCACTCTGTTATCCTGCCCACTGACTGGTTGGGTGGCACCTCACTAGACCTCTGGATTTGTTTCACTGCCTGCCAAACCTTGTAGGAAAAAACTATCAGGAATGCTGGAGAATACACCTGGCATTGATCCATTTCTCACTGCCTCCACTGCTACTATCTGATCCTAATCCCTGTTCTCTCGCCTGGGTTCCTGCGTTAGATCCTTCTGGCTCTCACTGCTCCTATCCTCGCCCTACTATGGTTTATTTACAACACAGCAGCCAGGTTGATCCTTCTTAAGTCAAATTGTATCTTTTCCATGGCTTTCCACCTCACTCACTCTCCTACCAGATTCCTTGACCTCTGGCCTCTGTTCCGGCCTTGTCCTCCCCAGCCACCGGCCCTGGGCTGAGGACAGATAGGCTGTGTGCCCCTAAGGATGAGCTGGAGAGACAGGGCTCTCCCACACGGGAGGGGGCTGCCTAGCAGGAAGTGATCTCTTCATCCTGGGGAGTGGGGAAAAGCGTGTTAGGGAGGCACAGAGGGGACTCTTGTATTGGGGGGATAGACCTTTTCAGAGGCCCCACCCTCAGAGAGGGAAGAAGATTCTGGCTTCTTTTCAGAAGAGATCCCAGACTGGAGGGAGGGGTTGGCCCTTAGGGTCTAGAGCCCAGCCCCAGATCTACAATCCCACGGGGTGGTGGGCATATTGGTCTGCTGGGGCTGCCATAACAAAGTATCACAGACTGGGGATTAAACAACAGAAATTAGTTTTCCACAGTTTGGAGGCTAGAAATTCAAGATCACAGTTACAACAGGGTTGGTTCCTTCTGAGGGCTATGGGAGGAGCACCCATTCCAGGCCCCTTTCCGTGGCTTGTAGGTGACTGTCTTCTCCCTGTGTCTTCACGTCTTCTTCCCTCTGAATGTGTCTGCATCCAAAGTTCCTCTTCTTACAAGAACACCCGTCATTAGGACTCAGTCCTGGTAACATCATCTTAATTCAGCTTCCCCTTTCTCCACACATAGGGTCACAGTGAGAGGCACTGGTTATTAGGTCTTCAGCATATGAATTTGAGGGGTGTGGCCAATTCAGCTTAAACTGTGGAGAAAAATAAATGTGTCCCATTTCTTCTCTGTTTCACATCTCCTCATCTTGTTTCCCTTTGAGATGAATGGCTGATGAGCATTTAGAGAGCTGGAGCTGGGGCCTTATACCTACATAGCAGTGAGGTGACATGGGACCTTGGCTTCTATCCATTGCTATGTCTCCTCCTCTGACATTTTTTTATCCTATTTTTGGAGAAACCAGGTCATTAATCCTATAAAAGCTCTCAGATTCTGGATCTAGCTAATTGTTTCCCTACATTGTCATTTAACACGTACTTCTGTACCGTGTAGCTCCTGAAGACTGCTAGTTAGATCTAGAGGTTTAATTAGATTCATGTTCACTTTTTTGGCAAAAATTCATAGGTGGTGGTGTGTGCTTCCTTTTGAACCGCGTCAGCAAGACATAATGTCTAGTTGTCTCTCCCTTTTGAGATGTTAATATTGGTCAGTGCACCAGGTGTTGGCTGACATAATCCACTAGCAGCCATTGATGATCACTGCCTAGCTGTTCAGTAGGAATATAATGCAAGGCATGGGTATAATTTGACATTTTTCAAGTAACCACATTAAAAAAGTAATCATAAATAAATGAAATTAATGTTAGTAATATATTTTATTTAGCCCATTATATCCAAAATATTATCACTTCAATATGTAATATGGAAAATTAATGAGATATTTTAAAACTTTTTTTGTACCAAGTCTTTGAAATCCTGTATTTTATGCTTGCAACACAATTCAGAGACAAGCCATATTTCAAGAGTTCAATAGCTACTCACACTGTTTAAGATTTCTTTATAATTTTTTTTGTTCTTAGAATATGTCCCTATTAGGGATGTACAGTGAGGCTAACTATTAAATTCTAGGAGAAACAAAAAGCTGTGCAAGAAAGAAAATGTGAACATAGAATGCTATAAGAAGTAACTGCACACAGTATTTTCAAAGTCATAAAAATGCAAACACTGAATATCAATTTACTCAAAAATTGCAATGGGAGGATGAGGGAAGAGGACTAAACCCTCATCATTCACAGAGGAAATCAGCTGATAATGTCTAAAATCAAAGTTACCGGTTTTTTACCATCAGATTTTGTTACTGCCATGAAAGTTTTCTTTTTCTCCAGTCAAATTTACATTTCCATCTCATATCCATTACATAAATTTAACACCTCTCCTTCTCCCCTTCTGAGCCCAGCTCCTCTGTGAGGAGGAACCAGGGGAAATGAAAGTCCTTTTCACTTAGGTGGGCTTGTGATTTAAATGCTCTTTGGGTGTCCCTCCATCCTGGTGACCCCCCACCTGGAACTGCTGGAGGCAGGCTCTGCAGCGAGGGGTCCTGCCCAGGGAGATGTGCTGAGCTGAGGGCAGGAATGGTAATCAGCGAGTCTTCACTGGGGAGGGGAATTTTGAAGTGAGCCTTGGAGGAGAGACATTAGCAGGTGAGCCAAGCAGGGGCAAGGAGCCCGCAGAGGGGCAGTACGGCAAAGGCCAGAAAGGCCAAATGCCTGGCATGGGCTCGGCAGCGCACCCAGGCTGCCATTACCTCAGAGACACTGTGCAGCTGCTCAGACTTCTCGGCAGCCCAAGACAGAAGGCCATTTCCTAATCTATTTCTATTTAATAATAGGCAAAAACTGTGGCGTCTGCTCAGCCCATGTTCTTGGAACAAATGGACCCAATTAAAAGGCCATCATAGGGGAATTTAGGGGAAGAGGGAAAAGCCATTGATCAAATCAATGCCCAGCTGCCCTGGGCTGGTTTGCGACTGGCTGCAGCAGAATCCTTCTTCCCACTCTGCCTTTTCCTCTCCCAAACACTGCCCTAGATCTGGGGAACTTTGCACCACCCCTAGCCCCATCCTCCACTCTGTTATCCTGCCCACTGACTGGTTGGGTGGCACCTCACTAGACCTCTGGATTTGTTTCACTGCCTGCCAAACCTTGTAGGAAAAAACTATCAGGAATGCTGGAGAATACACCTGGCATTGATCCATTTCTCACTGCCTCCACTGCTACTATCTGATCCTAATCCCTGTTCTCTCGCCTGGGTTCCTGCGTTAGATCCTTCTGGCTCTCACTGCTCCTATCCTCGCCCTACTATGGTTTATTTACAACACAGCAGCCAGGTTGATCCTTCTTAAGTCAAATTGTATCTTTTCCATGGCTTTCCACCTCACTCACTCTCCTACCAGATTCCTTGACCTCTGGCCTCTGTTCCGGCCTTGTCCTCCCCAGCCACCGGCCCTGGGCTGAGGACAGATAGGCTGTGTGCCCCTAAGGATGAGCTGGAGAGACAGGGCTCTCCCACACGGGAGGGGGCTGCCTAGCAGGAAGTGATCTCTTCATCCTGGGGAGTGGGGAAAAGCGTGTTAGGGAGGCACAGAGGGGACTCTTGTATTGGGGGGATAGACCTTTTCAGAGGCCCCACCCTCAGAGAGGGAAGAAGATTCTGGCTTCTTTTCAGAAGAGATCCCAGACTGGAGGGAGGGGTTGGCCCTTAGGGTCTAGAGCCCAGCCCCAGATCTACAAGTCCTTTGGGATGACTTCTCCCCCTTACACTCAGCTTTATCTTCAGACCAAGGGCTTGGGTGTCTTCCTGGCATCCAGTGAAGTGGTGGTGTGTGCGGAGGACCCTCTCTGGGGTCTCCTTGGAGGTAAGCAGGAGTTCGGAGGGATAAGAAAGGTCAGAGGACATCATGGGGCTGTCCTCAGCCCTTCTCCCCCTGCCGCAGCAGAACCAGAGAAGACCAAGTCAGTGTCCTTGAAACCCCAAGCTGCGGAGACCAGGCCTTGGAGGCACAGCTCCCTGAGGAGGGAGCAGCTATGTCTGCCCCTCAGTCTTACCTTTACAGAGTCAGCAGCTGGCCATTGTGTGCTTCTCCAAAGGAATAAAATCCCCCTCAGTTCGGAGTTTGTCCTGAAGCCAGAAGGTACCGTGATGGGCCAGCTAGGGGCTATACAGCTGCTGAGAGCCTATGCGGGTAGGCAGACTGCAAGGAGAGCTGAAGATCACCTGCTCTCACTCTCCCACCCAGGAAGAGGCGGCCACTGCTTGTCACTGCTGGTCAGGCTACACCCGTAGGAATGCATCCATAGGCAACAAGGTCAGGCTTCCTACTTCTGCACAGACTTCATGTGGGGGATCCATGGGCTTCTCCAAAGGTGTGAGCTAGGGAAGGGTGCTTATAGGGTTGTGGGGGTCTGGGATAGACAAAGGATGGTCTTTGGTAGAGATTGGTCAGAATTTTCAAAGTGGGGAGTTGCTGGAACCGTTGGTGATCCTATGTTTGGAACACAGGAGTCCTTGTGGAGCTTTACTATTAGATCTGTATTTGGTCTTTTGGAAAATGCAGGTCTAAACACATGGGTGTTTACAAGTGTGAGTTTAGATAGTCTGAGGTGGAAACATCCTGGCGTGGCCTGGCACTGTTACCTTTTTTGCAAGTCAGGATATGTTTTGCAAATTGTGTTCCCTGTTCCAATTCTCAGTCCAACCCCCATCTCACAGCCCCAACAACTTGGCTGCCAGCAGGATCATTTTCTTCTCATCACTCCCAGGCAGAGGTCGGGACCCCACTCCTGCTGCTGCAGCCAGCTCTCGCCACCAGGGGGCAGCAGGGCAGCGTCCACCAACCTGGGACCCACGGTAGACTAAGTTCAGCCAGGAAGAGAGCTGAGCCAGTCAGTGCTCAAGAACGAACGGGTCTGAAGCTCCGGACTGCCCTGTTTACTTCCCTTTGCTTCCAGTTCTGGGAACAGGAAGCAAAAAGGGGAGGAAAACGGGGGGTGAGGAGGAAGGAATGCTGAGGAAAGGGGAGGAAGAATGAGGGACGGAGGGAAGGAAAGGGGGTCCCCATTCCCCATCTCTTCCTGCCATCCTCAAATCTGCCTCCTTTCATCTTCCTGGCGGGGCCTTCTTGTCCCTCTCTGTCCCACGGACTGGCCATCCACCTGTGGCTCTTCTGCCTCCAGGTCATCTACTTGGTCCTGAGGGGGCTGCCCCTCCCCGCTCAGCATTCTCCCTTGAACACGGTTGTGACAACTGAACACTCAACACAGACAGAAACACACTCACACGCACGTCTGTGCAGGCTGTGTGGAACCCATGCAGCAGACTTTCGATTTCCTTCCCCACATTTTGCAATTGCTTTGGTCACAAAGGCTGGTCTGATAGTTTAATCCCCCAGTGAGGTGGGACTTTCCATGTTGCTGCTGATTTGGAATTTGGCTCCAGGATATAAACCTAAGGATACACAGGATAAAATAGCCCCACTTTCTAAAGAAGTCTGAAAACAACTGGGGTCAGACACCTCAGAGTTTAATTACTCTCAGCCCTCTCCCAGCCTCCACTCTGACTCCGAGCTGCTAGGCTCTGTAGATTTGAAAACATCTCAGCGGTTGTGAGTTCTCAACCTAGTGGAAAGGGGGAAAAGGAGGACAAGAGCTTTCCTACCCCCAAGCCAGGTGAGGGGTGCTCTAGGAAAATCGCTCAGGGAGATGGGGGTATAGCAGTTAGAGTCTCAGCAGGAAAGATGGGGGACTCAAAGTGGGTAACTTTGGGATCATTTCCAGAAGAGACTCTTAGGAAGGCAGGGGCTGGGATTTGGAGGGCTCCACACAGAGGGGCATGGATGGGCATGTTGTCATGGCCAAGAAGTAAGGACAGAAGGGGTGTTGTGGCAGCGCTGGGGAAGATGCACTGGTGGCTTCCCACTCACCATGCCCGGAGCCGGAGCTGGAGCCAGAGCTGGAGCTGGAGAAGCTGGAAAAGAGGGACCCAAAGGAGGCGTGAGGCGACCCCCCAGGGCTAAAGAGGAGGAGGAGGGAGCAGTAAGAAGGGGATGGAACTTTAATCTGGAATAAAACTTTGTTACTAAAAAGTGACTCATGGGTTTGGAGTTTGTGAAATAGGCAGTTCTTATGGGTGGGAAGGGAAACTGGACATGGAGTAGGAAGCATCAATGGAAGGGGGAGAAAATAGGCGTGTGTTGGTGCCTTACTGCACTCTCTTCAGTGGGAGAAGAGGAATCATCAGGTCCATTTTACAGATGAAGAAAATGAGTTTGTGCTCACAGAGCTGGTGATGACCAAACTGGGTCAGAACCCTGCTCCTCCTGCCTTAGCTTCCCTGTGTCCCCAAACCTCCTTCTTTCCCTAGAGCTGCTACTTGGTAACTGAGTTCAGTGCAAACTAAAGCCACATTTGGTAAAAAGAGGACTGAACAGGGAGCTCTGAGGTCAGAACCCACTAACACTCCCTCCCACCATGTCACTCAGGCTTCTTCCCAAGGTGCCCACCCCAGGCCTTCCAAGGTGACCTCTCACTTCCAGGAGGCACAGACTGGAGCTAATGAAGGCAGCAGAGGCAGGAGGGGCAGCCAAAGGGCCCGGGCCTCACGTATAGTCTCCATGTGACTGCTGTGTGACCTTGGGCAAGGCACAGCCCTCTCTGGGCCTCCAGTTCCTCTAAGTGGCCAGTCTCTGGGGTGCCTGCCAGGAGGGAAAACTGATGACTAGACTGGTCATGTCTCCCAGGGGACTCATGTGCTGATCCTTCAGGACTTAGCCCCAAGAAGCCAAATTGAGGTGGGGAAGTGAGGAGCAGGGCAGGGAGGTCCAGAAGGCAGGGGCAGGGGAGTTATTCTGGGGCAGGTGGACAATGGTCTAGGGCAGCTATTGTGTTGGAAGTGGAAAATCCTTTTCTGACTCCATCTCTAAGGGCTGAAAATAGTCCAGGGTAAGTCCCTGGGGACTGAGTTTGGGGCTGATGACTGGCCACGACTGGCCCATTGTTCCTGGCTGGGACAGGGCTGAGACTGGACACTGGGCTAAGCTGGATCCAAGACAGGGACAAGCACAGCAAGCCGCCACTGGAGGAAGAGTGGCTGGGCAGAAGCTTCCCGCTGCAGAAGGGGAAACCGAGGCCCAGAGAGGAGAAGGGATTCACCAAGTCCCATGGTGCAAGAGGGCAGAGGAGGATAAGTTTGGCTTCTGGTGCTCATTTACCCTGACCCTCCACCCCTTGCAAGCACACACTCCTTGGAAAGGCAAACATATCTCACCCTACAGCCCACCCACTCCTGGCTAAGCTGCACCCTCCACCCCACAGGAGGCAGGAGCATCTGACATTGAAACAGTTCCACTTCAAGGCACTGTGTGGTGCAATGGAGTCACTTCACCTCTCTGGTCAATTGGTGCCTGGGGAGACCCACTGCCCCCACTCTAGTCCTCAGAACTGAGAGCACAGGGGTCCTTGGGATACCTTGGGAAGCAGTTAGGTGTGCCTTTGATGAAGATCAAGACAGCTGATGCCCTCACTGAGATAGGGACAACTAGAACATGGGAGGCAAGATCCCCAGGCTCCAGAGAATGGGCTAGAGAGCAGACAGGTGGCCTCAGGTCACACAGCAACAGTGGCCCATTCATTGCCTTCTCTGGCCCAGTTTCAGGCCAGTCCTCCTACTCTGGGTCTCTGGGCTTTTGATTGAGCCAAGAAGTGGTTGCCCCAGTCAGGGAGAAATGGCTAAGCCTACTGCCATGGGTAGGTGGGAGCTGTCTAGTCCATAGGGGCTGGCCCTGGAGGCTTGGTATCAATGGCATCCTCTTCTTCCTCCTCCTCCTCCTCCTTCTGCTGTTGCTTCTCCCTGCTCCCTCCCACAGCCAGGCACTTAGGCTCTCGAAACACACAGGCCCATGTGCCTGAAAGGCGCCTAGTGCCAGGCAGGGCAGAGAGTGGTCTCACACTTTACTCCAGGACAGACCTGCTTCCCTCCTCCCACATCCTGGAGAATCTCAGCCACAGTAGCCCCCTGTTGCTCGCTGGCTGGACACACTGTCCTTTCCTTCAAATCATTTACCCTAATGTGGTTATATATTAAATTATGTCAACTCCACTAGGGCAGGGTCTGGCTGGGTTCCCCTCCCTATCCCCATGGCACAGTGCCTGGCATTTAAATGCTTACCATGTGCCAGGCACTGTTGTAAGTGCCTCATGTGTATTAACTCCGGCAAGCCTGTCAGTGCCCTACATGGGAGATAGTATCTCCTTTTAGGAATGAGAAAGCCAAGGTTGCTGCAAGGTTAATTGGCCCAAGGTGCCACAGCTGGAAGAAGTGGAGACATTCACCCAGGAGATCTAGGCGTAACTGCTCTCAACCCCATCCCCTCGCCCACGTTGAACTACATGAAGGGTCACTTACAGACCTTCCTGCTCCGCAGGGGTTGTCAGGGGCCTGGGGTAGTGGAAAGGGAACTTATCTGGCCATCAGATAGACCTGGGTTCAATCCTGACTCACCCACTTACTGTATAACCCGGAGCAAGTCCTCTCAGAGTCGATCCCCTCATCTGCCAAATGGGGACAATAACGCCTATTCCACAGGTGTAAAGAATTAAATGGCACAGCAGATGTGAGAGTGGTGGGCGCAGGATCTGGGACATGGGTTAGTACGTGAGTTCCCTTCCTCATGAGCCAGAGTCCAAACAGGTCAAATCTGCTGTGACCTGGGTGGTGGAGAGGCGTGGCTTTGGTGGCCTGATGTGAACAAGACCAGGGCAACTGCGTCTGAGGAGCATGCTGTTCAGGACCTTTCCTAGCCTCAGAGGGTGAGAGCAGGAACGTCCTCTGGGAACTACCCCCTCCTGTGCAGGGCTGAGTCCCCATGTGCCAGGGCGCCTCCACCCTGCTCTCCCCCTCACTCCCCTGCCCTGTGTCCCTAGGGCTACAGGGCTGGGTTCTGTCCACCCTGGGGAGAAAAGAGCTGGGGTGGTGGGGGTGAGGGCAGAATTCCTGTAGAGATGCTGACCTGCACCAAAGGGCGCAGAGCAGCAGAGGCAGCCAGAGCCCCTGGCACACATCCAGGCACCATGCTGACCTGCTGAGTGACCTTGAGTCTACAGCTGGGCTAGATAATCCCTGGGGTCCCTATAAGGTGGCTCTGCCTTTTCACAGTGGCCTTTGAGTCAACAACCCCAGGAAGTGATGTCAGGGGGAGGAGGTGGGGAGTTGGGAGGGCACAGGGAGGCCCAGAAAGTATTTTGAGAGCAGGCAGGTCCCTCCACGTCACTGCTGGACAATGGTCTAGGGCTGGAGTGGAAAATCCTGCTCTTACTTGGGCTGAAAATAGCACAAGGCAGCAGGAGCAGGGACCTTACCCACCAGGCAGGCGGCCTGGCATGGAGCAGTGAGGCCAGATGTCCACACCAAGAGGCCACGGAGGTCCAGAGGAGGGACCCTGGGCTTGTCCCTGGTTCCCTTATTGTCTTCATTCCCAACCCCACCAGTGCCCACCACAGATTAGATGGTGGGGAAGCCCTTCCTACACGCTAGGTCCTATATCCTTAGAGATCTGCAGGCAGCTGGTTCAAGGAAGGCTTCTTGAGGGTAGATCATAGTGTTGTCTCCTTGAGTTGTGGGGCCCAGGTTCTTGGTGTCACCAGGGCAGCTTACAGAAAGGTAGGTGGGCAGGACATGAAAGTACTAGAGGAACTTGGGCCCGTGGTGGCCACAGCCCCACCCCCAACCACAGATGCAAACTGAAGAGTCCCGATAGTCATAATGTATAACCCCTACCTCTGGTCTAAGCAGGGCTGAGGGAGCTAGAGACCAGCATGCATACTCCTGGCCTGCACAGCATTTTTACTTGGGTAGGGTATCCTTATAAACCAGGGTGGGGTTCCCCCTGAGCTGCAACTGGTAGGAAAGAGGAAGGTTTGGGCCTGCAGGAAAGGCTCAAGGACAGTCTGTAAGAGGTAGTCACAGAGGAAAGCTCATAGGGATGCTGGTTATATTAACAGAAATATAGAAGCTAGAATGTGGGAGGTGGGCATTTCACACTACTTTGGGCTGAGCACCCACACTGCACAATGCAGAGTAATCACGGCTTGTGATGAGGTCCCTGTCACAAGAGGGCGCTGCAGAGCTAGACTCTAAATAGACCAACTCCTGAGGGAGCCCTGTTTTGACGAAGTAGAGTAGGAATGGTGGAGAAGTCACAGGGGCAGGCGGAAGTGGTGTGCAGAAAGAATCTTCTTTCAGGCAGAGTGGGTCCATAGCGCAAGGGCTCTCCCAGAGGGAGAGGGAGTGAGTCTTTATCTTTAAGATTAAGAGTGAGGTCTGTCAGCATTGCCCACAGAACCTGCCCAAAGGCTAGAGCTGGGCCTGTGCAGCTAAGCTCCACAAATCTCCAGAGTGGTCCTGGCTGGACTCAGAACCTGCCGCAGGTGAGACCTACCTCCTCCACACTAAGCTCTGACCCAAACTGAGCCCCAACCATTATGCCATGTAGCTGGGATTTTCCCAGGAGGCAGAGGATGGGACAGGAGAAGTGAGTCTCTTCCATACTTCACCTCAGTGCAAAGGAAGCCTCATGGTCAAAGCAGGAGGGAACCCTGACTTGGCCTCCTTGTGGCCCACTCCTAGCCTCATTCCTACTTAGCCTGCTTCCCCTTCCTGGGGAGCCCTACTCTCCTGCCCCTGTGTCTTTGTCCAGTGTGCCCCTGCACCTGGATGTTCTTCTCTGACAATCTGCTACTCTCAGGAGCTATAGCTCAGGAGTCCTCCCACTCCAGGAAGCCTTCGCTGACCCCCTGGTCCTCAGCCCCAACCACTCAGCATTGTCCAGTCATGTGCTGCAAGGTACATGACATGCTTTCCAGAGCAACTTGTATCTTACACAAGCAACTGTTCAATCTTCAGGAATTGTGCAAGGAGGTTGACATCCCATTGGTAGTCATGGTAGGAGTATCTGCACCAACTGACAATGCTATAAATAAGGGGTACCCCCCACCCCACTTGAGAGCCAGTTAAACAGTTTAACATTTACTAGCACATGGCTGATCATCACCATTAAGTCCTAAACTGGGGGATCCCAAAGATGGACCCCACCTGACTCCTCTCTGCAACCAGCAGAGCCAGGCACAAAAGCCAGTTAGCTTTAAAGTGGGGGATGGCCTGGAGAGGGGTTCCCTGATGTGGGAGACCTCCATGGGAGGGCAGGTGGCAGAAGAGAACAAGGCTGGAGAAAGAAAGGACCCTACTGTGGCTGGTGAGAGCTTCCCAGGCTGTATCTCCATCCTGCAACCACACAACACGCACAGCTCAGCAGTCAGTAACGCCTTTAGTATAAGTGACAGCCTCAAACTGGCTCCCAGCCTAGAGGATCCTCGGGAAGGGTTTATGACATCTCTTGGGCTGGGGGTACTCTGCAGGGCTGAGTCCATCATGGCACCCGGACTGCTCCAGACCCACTGTGGGAACCTCTGGCTCAGTCCTGTCTCCTTATCAGGGTCCTCTGGTCAGCCCGTGTTCCCGCTCCTCCCAGGCAGCTCAGGCCGACTTGGCTGTGTGACCTTGGTAAGTCACTTTCCTCTCTGGGCCTGTTTCTCCATTGGACTTGATTAGGCTGGAGTCCAACCCAGGTAGCTTAGCAGGCACATCCAGCTATTTATGTGGGAGTCAGGCCAGGGCACCAGGGGCTCTGAACCCTTGCCTTTCTTGAAAACTAATTCCCCAACTCACACATACAAATGGTGACTGGGGCTGTGGGAACATGCTGAGCCCCTCCCAGATGACAGGCATCGGGGTCCTGGCTCCTTGACTCCCTTGACCATCCAGCATGAGCTGCTGATGGTCTGTATCTGGGGAGACTGTCCCATAGGAACGAGTCCTAGTCCCTACAGCACCCCCATATAAACTCGCACAGGCCAGAGCGTTCAGGTCCTACAACTGAATGTCCTTAGTGTTCTCACCACCAGCCGGCATGGCCTCTATCTGCCTGGAGTCCCCACTGCTGGTGGACAGGCCTCCTGTCCTCTTGGTGTCAGTTCTGTCAGACCTGCGCAGGCCCAGCCTGCGGCGAGGCTGAGTGGGAGGGGTGGGGTCCGTGGGTGGCTTGGCATCCCGGGCAAAGCGCACAAGCCTCTGCCCAGCCAGGAAGTAGAGCACGGGGTCGAGGCAACTGTTGGCACTGGCCAGCGGCCGGGTGACCTTGTAAGCCATGTTGATGGCATTGAGGGTGTGGCAGCTGAGGTCCAATGAGCGGAAGGAATAGTAGAGGGTGCGGGTGATGTGGAAAGGCAGGAAGCATAGGGTGAAGACAGCCAGCACCACAGCAATGGTGCGGACTGACTTGCGCTTGGCCCGCGGCAGGCCTCCAGAGGTCCCGTAGGCTGGCTTTAGCAGCCGCCGAGCCATGAGCACATAACAGACCAGGATGACGGCAAAAGGCACCGTGAAGAGCAGGCCCAGCATGACGGAGCTGTAGGCCACGAAGTGGCTGAAGAGCTCTGGTGCCGAGGTGTCGTGGCAGGTAATGCGGGCACCACGTGTGCTGGTGGTGACGAAGTAGAGCACGGGGGCCTGGCAGGCCAGCACCACCACCCACACGGCGGCTGCCACCCGGCGGGCATAGAAGGCCCGACCCCAGTGCAGAGAGCGCAGCGGGCACAAAACACCCAGGCATCGGTGCACGCTGATGCACGTGAGGAAGAGGATGCTGCAGTAAAGGTTGGTGTAGAAGAGGAAGCGCACCAGCTTGCAGAGCACTGTGCTGAAGGGCCAGTGGTCGCCATGGGCATAGTAATAGACCAGCAGCGGCAGGGAGGCCGCATACAGTGCATCAGACATGGCCAGGTGGAACATGTAGGTGGTGGAGGCATTCCAGGTCTTGAGGCGGCACAGGAAGATGAAGAGCGCTGCGGCATTCAGACACAGCCCGAGCACGCACACGGTGCCATAACACACGGGCAGGAGCACGTACTTGAAGTCCTCGTTGAAGCGGCACTTGTAGCCCAGGTCATCCCCGTCCCAGGTGCCATTGCTGGTGCCATTCCAGAGGCCCAGGCCATCTGTGGCCATTGCCCTGAAGGGACAGGTGACAGGGAGAATGTCATCAGAGTCATGGATGAGTAACAGCAGGGTGGCTTGCACACCCACCTGACCGAAACTGCAAGGACCCCAGGTGCTCATGGATTCTCTTGGTTAAGATCTGCACAGCCATGTTCAAGGCCTCTGTTGCCTTTTGACCTGGTTCTCTCCCTGGACCCAGAGGGCCCAGGGCCTTAGAACCCTTGAACCTCAAGAATGCATGAGATCCATGAATATCAGGACCATATAATTCTAAAACTTTAGAAGAGGGGGTAGACAAACTACATCCTGAGGGCCAAATCCAGCCCACTAGTCTGTTTCTGTAAATAAAGCTTTATTGGAACATAGCTGTACCCATCCACTCATGAGGAGTTGAACAGTTGTGACAAAGACTATATGTTTCACAAAACCTAAAATAACTTACTATCTGGCCCTATACAAAAGAAAGTTTGGCAACCCCACTGTAGAACCTCAGGAGCACAGAGTTCTAGACTGAGGATTCTGAGCTCTAGAATCTGAGGATCTAGGGGTTTGAAGGGCGATATCATCTCAGATTCATGGAAAGAGGCCTTTGAAGCTGACTGGCTCCACCTCACACTCGGTGCCCACTCTCTGCTGAGGCATTTCTGGCCAGTGGGCAGCCATACCTTCCTGGAGGTACTCCTATATTCTGGCACTTTCTGCATGTGTAAGCAGCAGTCCTGCGCCCTGGCTTGTGAGCCTACTGGCTGACACAGCAGTCGTCCTGAAGATCCCAGGGAAGGCTGAGGTGGAGGTGGGAGTGGGGCACAGGCTCAGCTCCCTGCAGGCCTACCCAGCTTCTCTCCATGTCACTACCTTGCCATGCTCCTACCTTGTCCTCAGTGCGAATGTTACCCTCCCACGGTACCTGCCTGCCCGGGGAGCACCTGGAGTGAAGGTTGTCCACTTTCTTCCTCTCCCCATCCACCAACATGACTAATAACAGCGCCCTCTCATCTGGCAGGTAGGAGACAGATATCCCAGTCCGGGGTGCAAAGATGTGCCCAAAGGTCCCAGAAGTCAGTGGGAACCATAGCAGGAATCCCAGGTAGGCAGATTTGGGACAAACACAAACAGTAACTTTCTAACAGTGTGAAGGGACAGGGGGAGCTGACATTTTTCAAACCCTTCTACAATAGGTGCTCGATATATGCTACTTCATTCCATCCTTACAACATGCTTCTGGGAGCTAGGTTACCATGCTCTGTTTTCCAATAAGAAGGCTGAAATACAGATCATTCAAATAGTCTGGCCAAGGTCACACAGCTGGGGACAGGCTGCAACTCTCACCCAGGAGTGTCCCACAGTGGAAGAGGCTGTAGAAGGGAGGTGGTGAACTCCCTGCTTATGGCGGTGTGCAAGCAGCTCTCTTGCAGACTGCACAGAACTCCCTGTTTGGGGGGGTGTCAGGGAGGACAGAGAGGGCAGATGACTTGTGAGTCCTCCCCATCTGAGAATCTGGGGCTGAATAATTCCCTTCATTTTGCAACCTGGGGACCTGAGAGGCCGGGCTGCAGGGATTCTTCAGAGCCAGCAATGTCCACTCCCTTAGACCCTGCACTTCCTGCTCAGCCTGGCCTCCCAGCAGCAGTTCAGGGCCCATGAGGTTGAGACTAGGGAGCTGAGGACACATAGGTCCCTCAGTTTCCCTTCTTTCCCCAACCCTCCCCCCTTCCCCAGGTCTCCTGTTTGCAGCAAAGGTGCGACCAGGAGGAAGGGAGTGAGCACTCACAACCTCCCTCCCAGGGACACAGGTTCCTCTCCAAGGAGCCCAGGCAGATCCCCAGCGAGGAGGCAGGGAGAAGCTTACATGGTGCCAAGTTGGGAGGGAGTAGGTATGGCGGAGCTCTGGCAGGGCCAGCTGCGGGGACACCCCTTGTCTCGGAGCCAGGACTCAGGACCCACCCCGCTCCATGCAGCCTGGTGTCTCCCCCTTGCTGCTGGAGTCCCTGCCACAGTCTCCCTGCTGCCAGAGGGGTCTTTGTGAAAGACAAAGGCATCCCCCTGCTTGAAACCCTCTTGGCTTCTGCCTGCTCTCAGCTCCTCAGTCTGGCACTGAGGTTTTTATAATCCAGACTCTATCACCAGCCCTGTCCCCTGTGAGCCCTACAGTTCCCTAAATGTGCCCGGCACTCTTCCCCTCCCAAACTTAGTTCATGTTATTCCTTCAACCTGGAGTCTATTCATAATCACTTCCACCTGCTGAAATGACAACTCTTTACCCCTTAGCATAGCAAACACTGATTAAGAACCTGGCCTGTAAAGCCAGAAGCACTCTCCCTTCACTGTCACCCCTCACCCTGGGCATCCCTCACACCCAGACTGCCATTGTTTCCTCCTCTGTAAAATGAGGCAATTAATAGAACCTACACCATCGGACTGCTGTGAGGATTGAGTAATTTGTGTAACATGTTTGGAGTGGTGTCTGGCCCACAGGAGGTACACTGTGGTGTTATGAGCCTCAAGGCCCAGCTCTGATGTGGCCTTTTCCTGAAATCTTTGGGAAGTTCTCTCAGGCCACCCATGGAGGAGCTTTGACTGGAGGCTGTGGGGCAGGTGCGTGGAGTGGGTCAGGGTAGTGGTGCTGGGGCCAGGCCTGGGAACCTCGTGAGAGGAGAGATCTGACAGCTATTTGGGAGGAAGGCTAGGGACTAGCCCAGAAGGAGTCTGGAGGGAGGAGGTACAGGGGAGGGAGGCAGCCAGGATGCCTGGCTCATGGATCAGGAGAAACAACAGGCTGGGGAGAGGGAATTCAGCATCAGGCATGGTAAGTGTGGGGTGCTCCAGAGGGGTGTCATGGGATCCGGGGATAGGTGAAGGCTGAGACCATTAGATCTAGCTCTTGGGGAGGTGGCCTAAGAGTTGCTGGCTCATAGAAGCTGCAGGAGGAGTGTGGATGTCCAAGTGTGAGACTGAGGAGCTCTATTGGGGCCATATTCCCCCCAGGGACCAGCGTGGGGTGTCCAGCTCTGTCACAGAACCCCAGGTGACAACAGGCACCTTCCCGAGGTTCAGGCTTCTCATGGGCTCAACCCCCTTGCCCTGGAGAACTATTAGCCCCAAAAACTCCCCCTTGAGGTCCTCTGCTCCACTGGAGATGGGGACGGTGGCCTCCACCATGCTCTGTGCTCTGGGCACACACACCCAGGCCCACCTCCATGCTGCTGCTGTTTTGGCCCCAGTACTGAGGCCTGACGGGTCTCCTTAGAGTCAGGGGCCAGGCCTTCATCCTCCCTTCACAGTCAGCATCACATTGCTCTTCCCAAAAAGTTTCTTGCTAATCACTAATAGTGGAATTTCTGGCACTGTTGAGAGGGGTGGAGACTTTCCTAAGTCTCTTTTTTTTATTTTTTATTTTATTTTATTTTTTTATTTTGGTATCATTAATCACAATTACATGAAGAACATTATGTTTACTAGGCTCCTCCCTTCACCAAGTCCCCCCCCACATACCCCTTCACAGTCACTGTCCATCTGCATCTAAGTCTCTTCTGAATCAAGGGAGCTGCCCTTTCCACCTGTTTCAGGACATCCTGGCCTCCACCCTCCCAGACCAGCTGGGGCCTCCATCACGGTGGCCCATGTCCAGAATGACCGTACATGCCCTTTGTCTCCACAGACTGGCCCACCAACATGAAGTATGTCTTTCTTGGCCCCCTAGTCCCTGCTTATGGGGACACCCAGGTCCCCAGCCTCTCCCTCTGCCCTCTCCTCTGCTTCTCCTGATCCGCACTGCCCTTGGGCTTCATGCCCCCTCCCTAGAGACCGGCTCTCACTGTCGACCATCACTCACCAGTCCCTTTGTGACTACTTCTGGCTGGCCCTGCCTGAAGAGCTCCTAGTCTTCAGGGAGATGTGAGCATTGTAAATGCCCTGCCAGGCTTCCCTCTTGGGTGCATGGTGTTCCTTCTGCCTGGAAGGCTTTTGCAGAACCCACCTACGCTGTACTCCATCTTTCCCATCCCTCAAGGCTTTCCTCAAATGTCACCTCATCCCAGAAGTGCCCACCCCCATCCCTGGGCATCCCTCACACCCTGTTGGTAATTTGTCCTTCTACCTTCTACCCCAACATATTCTAGGTGGTCCCACAGGGCTGGGTCCATTTGATTCTTTTCTGTGTTCCTAGCATCCAGCAAGAGGCCTGTCTGATCCAAAGCAGGCATGATACAAATGAGAGAATGTACGAATGAGTGAATGAATGAAGCAAGCACAAGAGGCTTCGGGACCCCAGAGAAGGCTGAGCTTAAGCTGGTGGCCCTTATTCCTCTGAGGGCCTCCCAGACAACAATGAGGCTTAAAGATTTCTCAGCTGCTGACCCTAGGTGGCCAGGGGTCACCCCAGTCCTCCTGGGGCCCAGCCCACCTGAGGCCTGCCCCTGCCCTAGACAGACCATTGGACTGCCTCTCTTACAAGAGCCCTGCCCTTCTCTGGACAGGGCAGGGAAACACCAGGGGGAGGGGAACAGGGCCCTAGCATTCTGGAAATGGGGCAGCCGTGGGGCTCACTGTGTATACATCTGACTGTGACTGTGTACGTCTCTGTGCACCTAAGTGTGATCATGCCTGTGTGTCCATCTCTGGCTTAGGTCATGGGTCAGTCTAGATCACAACCTCCTGATCCTGGAGCACCCCCCACACCCACTCCTCACTTGGTAGCGGCCAAGCCTGAGCTGAGCAGCTTCCACACAGCATCCACCTTTCATCCCCATCCCTTATGACTCAGTAGTTACCCCCACAGAGGTGAAGCTGCTTGTTCCAAGATCACACTACCAGGAACTGGGAAAGAGCAAGGCTTTCTGATTCCAAAGCCTTAATTCACCACAGCCTGGGATAAGCAAGTGGGGCATGGATCCCCTGGACCTACCCCCTGTTCGGGGGCGGATACACATGCTGCGCCTGCCTGAGCCTCCCAGCCAGCAGACCCTGCCTTCACATGCCCTACTGAAGAGCCCCTGCTGCTGCTGTCAGGATGCT